CGGGGCCATAATGTAACATAGAAGGTAATGGAGCCCTTTATACATTGTCGTGTTTCTTTAGAAATAAATAATGGACAAATGGAGTCTTTAAACGCCTCAGATGTAAAGTTATTCGCTGTCAAAGTGACGCAAAAATGAATGGGAGTCAATGGAAATGCTAACGCAAGTGAAGTTCTGCTACAACATGGCGGCACCCGGCCGGCTTCAACTTCCGGTCGATGGATTACCCCCTTGGTGCATCCTCACCGTAAACTGCCCTGTCAATCATCTCGTCACAGTTAAAATCCTCCATTCAATCTAATATAACTTCTTACCATTTCGGAGAGAATTGTTGTCGCACGTTCATCTGCCAGTCATGGGTCTTTCATGCGGAGACTCTCCTCATGTGTTTGGAATTTGACTATAATAATGCATTTAAAAGTTAATGGCTAAACGTATCTTTGCAAAAGTTCACAATGCTGCTGCAGATGCAATATAATGTGGACAACATTGAATAAATACATTTTCATCAGGTTAGATACTGATAATTAATCACTCAAACCCCTTTATCTAAACCTCTCTACATAACCGTCGGACTCGCGCGCCCTCCATGTCTGTAGTTTTTGAACACTTTTCATTCGTGTTTGTAGTTCTAACCGAATCCTCGTCCAACGCGCGATGGGTTGTGGGCAATATCAGCCGTTAGAGTGCGCATCGATCTGCACTTCGGATTCTGACCGGATATAGTAGACCATCCGGGTCTCTTTGGGACACTCATTTCAACATACTACGATTTGGGACGTACTAATTCTATTTTCGAATACTATTTAGGACGGATAGTATGCGAATTGGGACGCCCCACCGGGATAGAAAAACATGAACACACACACACACACACGCACGCACACACACAAACACACACACACACACATCAATTTAATAATTAATTAAATCAATAATTGTAGCATTTTTGTCTATTTAAACACACACACACGTTGGGTTTTTATGTTTTATGGGGACTTTCCCTAAACATAATGATTTATGTAAGGAATAACTGATGACGGGCCGTTGAATTATTAGAAAAATAATGCACACCCTAGGTGGTTATCCGGTCACGACGCGAAGTGGAGTTTTAAACACTATTTTTATTTAACTCTACATTTGTGCAGTAAAATTAACTTTAAAGAAGATCTACATTTCTCATTTTCATTCATGGAGATAACATGGACAATGTGCCATGTTTTAGATTTCTGTCACAAACTTTTAACATGAAAATGACATGAAACTTCCATTATAACTAGTAGATGGCAGCAGAGGACCTCTCATTAGTTCATTTGACAGTTCTTTTCATGTGTTTTTGGCTTCACGTGTTTTCACGGTTTCTTGAGTTTTAAAGGGGACTGAGACGATTACGAATTAATGTACATATTACGGATAGTGCTTTTGATTAAATTGCACCTTAAGTTAACAGTAGGCCTATGAATTAATTAGTCTAGTGTCTTTTTTGCTGTGACCCCCAGAGGAAAACATGATTAATAAACATGAAATAAAAATGATTGCAATGACTTTGATTGCAGACTTTTCTTTTCTATTCCTTTAAGCAAAAGTCTCCATTTGATCTCCATGTAATCTCATATCTGTTTAGGAGAAACAATTGAGACATTCAAAAGATCTCATTTGTGATTCTTCCTTCCTACGGGTCTGCAATCTACACAATGCTTTCAGTGGTGTGTTTCTTTGTGTGGCAGCAGCGTGGTGAGAAACGATAAAGAAGCTTGCCAAGAGCTTGGCTCTGAGTGGATGCGGATGACAAATGTTTAACCGCGAGAAGTGAATCGGGCAGCTTTACGTGTCTATTGACTGATCCGAAGCCTTCTGCTCTCACACATCTGCTGGCGCTTGTCTTTGTTTAACCCGTGCTTTGTTATTTCAGAGCCCGAGCGCTCAGAGAGTCACATGATCACAGGCTCCTCTGAGCCCATCAAATATTTCGGAGGTGCAGCTGGATTTCTCCTCCACATAAGAGCATGCTGTGGGAGTGAGCAACCTCTGCTCGACACAAGCTTGGTTGAGACTTAATCAAGTTTTCAGTTAAGTAATACGTTTGTTTCTGTTGTTCATGTGTTTCTCCTTAAGATCCTATGAATTTAGAACAAGACAATGGTTGACATACAGTAAGAATATAGACATAAGGTTGGACAGCAAGCTCAGACCATTAGGCCGTTGGAAGAATTTGCTGAGAAATGTTTGAATTCATATTGAAATCAGTGATCATTGTGAGGCTTGTAAACATCATGCAAATTTCTATAATTCTAGTTATGGTCTCTATTATGGTCTCTAGAAACTGCTCTTTATGAGTCACAAAAAAAAGTCACTTGTTTTTTCCAACAATGAGATTAAATGGAGAGCAAAATGCAATGGAGACTAATTTCTTATTCTCTCTCTCTCTCTCTCTCTCTCTCTCTCTCTCTCTCTCTCTCTCTCTCTCTCTCTCTCTCTCTCTCTCTCTCTCTCTCTCTCT